GGTTTCTTTTTGGTGAGTGTAAAACATGAGTGTAAAAGTTTGATTTACTGGAGATATGTTTAACTTTTTGGCTCTGTTTTATAGTTTGTTCAATGTATGTTGTATTGAACAATGGAAGTAAATTTTAAGAGAGATTTCAGGACAGAACAAGTATATATATTTATTAAACTATTCTTGCAAGATACTTCTTACATTAATTTTGTTTTGTCCAAATATTTGATCACAATTACATAATCATTCTTTATAAGCATATTAGGCTGCTGTATTTATTATTTCTGTTGATATCTTGATTATAAGCTGAAAATACTAATAAGACCATTTGAACCTATTTTCAGTACATCAGGAACTGCATAGCTAAGTTAGAAATTCCCCAGCTGATGCTGATGTCAAAAGAAGCAGTTTACAGTTCAGTTCCAAAGTCATCATTTTATGTTCCTTCCTTTCTGAGGAGAGCCCTTTCTTCCACTTCTACTCAAGCAACTATGTCTCTCTGGCGTGTCGATGCTATGCTACGGGTTCGAATCTTGTGGGCAACTTATGTGAATGTTCGTGATGTGGACATGGTGAGGCTACCATCCTAAATGAACATATTTATGTAACTATACTTGTGTTGTGAAAGTAGCTGAAGACAATTCTAGCTTGTGTAAACTTTGTATGAAGTGTAAAATTTGTACAAAATTTTTCTTGTTTTAACAAAAATTATTTGAATCAGTTTTTTGTGAGACAAATACTCACTAGACATTATTATTTTTATTTTCATTGTTTCTCACTAGTGGATCTTTCAAGACTAGTCTAATTGGCTACCTTCTGTCTCCACCAGAGGACTAGCACATAGATTTGTTTGTTTCAGAGCAAAGCCACATTTGGCTACCTTCTGTCTCCACCAGAGGACTAGCACATAAATGTTTGTTTTAGAGCAAAGACACATTTGGCTACCTTATGTCTCCACCAGAGGACTAGCACATAGATTTGTTTGATTTAGAGCAAAGCCACATTTGGCTACCTTGTCTCCACCAGAGCACTAGCACATAGATTTGTTTGATTTAGAGCAAAGCCACATTTGGCTACCATACGTCTCCACCAGAGGAATAGCACATAGATTTGTTTGTTTTAGAGCAAAGCCACATTTGGCTACCTTATGTCTCCACCAGAGGACTAGCACAGATTTGTTTGATTTAGTGCAAAGCCACATTTGGCTACCTTATGTCTACACCAGAGGACTAGCACAAAGATTTGTTTGTTTTAGAGCAAAGCCATATTTCCACCAGAGGACTAGCACAAAGATTTTTTATCTTAGAGCAAAGCCACATTTGGCTACTTTCTGTCTCCACCAGAGGACTAGCACAAAGATTTCAAAGTGAATTACTTGAATAAGTTAAAAAGTTACAAGCTTTTCTTATTTCAGTATTTTTTCACTTGAACTTAGAATTACATAATTGGACGATTGGCAACAATCTGTGTATGTGCACACTACTCACTAAAGCACAGATGTATGTAACACACCATGAAAGAAACAATTTACCAACAGATGTATTTTACTCCCAAAGTGCCAGTTCTAGGTAGCATTACAAGAAACAAAATCTATGCATCTCTACTAGTGTGCCTAGCCTTGACTTAGTCTAATAATCAGCCTCTCAAGTTTTACTTTTATCATTGAGACATTTGTCTACCGAGTCTAATTTCTTTGCTTCCAAAGTCTTACTTTCTCACACTCTGATGCTTTATACTGTTGGAATGACACATACTCTTATGGTATGCAGTGGTTACAACACCAAGAATACTAATTATTTCATGATGTTTATGATACATTCTAGAATATGGGTGTTCAAAGAAGTAGTAAGCTGAATGCTGGAATATCAAGAAATAAATAACATGAAATTATTCATAATTTGGCACAATATCCAATGTACACCATGAAATTACACATCATTCCAACATTAGATGAGAAGTCCAGATGTTGAAAGCAAAAGTTATTAGACTCAAAGGTACATGAATCTTCCATTCTTTTTGTTAGACTAGTCTTGAAAGATCCACCAGTAAGAAACAATGAACAAAAAATGAATAATGTCTATTGTTAGACTAGTCTTGAAAGATCCACCAGTGAGAAACAATGAAAATAAATCAATAATGTCTATTGAGGACTAGCACATAAATGTTTGTTTTAGAGCAAAGCCACATTTGGCTACCTTATGTCTCCACCAGAGGACTAGCACATAGATTTGTTTGTTTTAGAGCAAAGCCACATATACCAAACTTAATGACATAAATTTATAAAATAGTAGTTCAATAAAATTTTGAATGTAAGTCAACAAACACAATGACATAGCCTCTGACCCGTGACGATAGGGTTACATGGGTTGTATATACTAAATAGTTTCAACTTACTTCAAATGCCAAAAGAAAAAGTGTCCAATCTTCCGATTTAATAGAGCTCTCTTTAAGAGGAAACGTGCTAAATCACCATCAAGGTAAGGTTCATACTTCAACACCTGTGGAGAAAACAATTTTACTTAATTGAAAGAAACATTGTCAAACAAACCATATAATGTTTGTATGCAATGCAGAGAAATCTGTTAGGTAACGAATGTATTATAAATTGAATTGCACTGAACCAACAACAGCTACAACTCACTTAAAGTAATTTCCTACCATCAACATGCTTCACTAAGAGCTTGTTATAAAAACCAATTATGCAAGTCTAATCAATTATAAAGATGAGTTAATACAATAAGATACAATAGCCTGAGTCTTAAAAAAGATATGACTACACATAAGAAAGATATCCAATCATATTGATATTAACATCCAAGTGTGGAAAACCTTGTCTTTTCTTATAGATAAGTTGTTTTTTTTTTAGAAAATGCCAATAAGCTATACATAACACATGAAAATATTCTTGAAAAATACATAACAAAAGTAGTAACTATAACATGGTCAAATATTGTTCTAATGCAACATAGGAGCTCAAAATTGAAGATGCTCTGATAATCACAATCATTACTTGAAAACTGAAAGTTTTATATGTTGATCTAATCATTGTAAGGGATAGACCTAAAAATGGGAAGCAAAGGTTTATGTTAAGGTTGTGCTGATCAATATCAGATGTTTCTATAGTTGGTAGCCTATATGTTCACCTAGTATCATTACACAATTTATTGATTGTCATTACACATACTCATACTAACCTGTACAAGTTGCAATAAATACTGGGACAGAAAATCATCACTCAAGGACTTGTCCAGCCATTGAACAGCAAACATACGAACAACTCGGTCAGCGTACTTACAATCAAGTAGTTCCAAGGCAGTCTCAGGAGACACTTGAGACCAGCCCTCCAACAATACGTACAGCTACACGTTTAAAAAGAAACAAAAATAGATCAACATGCAAAAACTAGCAAACTATTTCATGACCTTAATAGAAAATGTGTTATGGAAAACGACACAACTAGATTCAGTGATGAATATAACAAAAATTATCTTCCATTCATTAAATACTTCTACTGAGGAATCTTTTTCTCCTTCAGGGCACCAATACATATCTGAGACCAAACCAGATCTCTGAAAATAAAAACAAATGCAGTTCAATTTGATGTTACATACTTCAAATACTTTTTTTCTTTTTATCAAGATGCCTCACATTTTAAAATATTATTTTGATACATACTAATAATACGAACATGAGCCAAACATAAAGCCAATAATGAGTTTCAAAACCAACCTTTAGCTACATATATCTGAATATTGTATTTAGTTTTTCCGATGTAATCTGTCACCCAATTAAAATGCGAGTGTAACAATCTACAGCTGGGCAATTAACTCAATAAATCAATTATTGTCACAAAAATAATCAATTAATTAAAACTAGTGCTTCAGATTATCACTTTCCATACGAGGTCAGTCAACATGACTGACCTTGTAACTACAAAGTAGCCACCAGTTTCTATACTATAATTTTTAATGTTTTGTGTATATTCATGAAATTTTGCAAGCTTTCAGTAAACATTACAAGACTTTTGTACACACAAAAAAAAAACTGATTTCTTTAAATAACTATATTTATTAAATATTTGTCCATACATATATGGAGTCAGTATAAACTGCTCCAAGTGTAAAGTGATTTTCATGTTAAGATTAAAAATACTATTTTCATCTGAAAACTTTGAAATTTCATTTGTGTAATCTCTAAAATCTCCTAATATCAGTTGCTTTTTGTCAGGAAAATTTTACATTTTATCTATTATTTTCTCTACCCTAACTCTATATGCATTCAGTATATTTGACAGACCAAACTTGTAACCATCATAAAAAAGAATACAAAGTAAGTCTAAATTACCTTTTTCTTCTTTCTAAAATGACTGCAAATTGTAACAGGTAACTACAAATGTCACAATTCTAGTACTTGGGGAGACAGAGGATTTTTTTCTAATATTTCCTCATGAAATTAAGAACTTAAACTTGTATTAAAATTTGATTCGTTAACTAAGTTTTGATGTCAAGAGTATTTGTATACATTTATAATAAAGTAGTTTAAATTTAAAACGTAACTCTCTAAACATTCATGACATGCACACTGTAACCTACCAGTAGCGAGAGGGTTATTATTGATTTTGATTATTCCAATTATCCAATTGATTAAAATATTGTCATTATGACTTCTCAATATTATTGATTAATTCAAGGTTGTTCAACTTAATCAATTAGTGTCACAAAAATAATCAACTAATCAAGATTAGTGTTTTTGATTTTTCCAACTATCCAAATCTGGTGAGAATAATCAATTACTTAGAAGTAATTGATTAATGAGCCTAAAGTTTCGTTATCAAATTTCACTAATTGCCCTGCTCTATTCAAAATACTTTTCTAATGTTGCTTGATTCACTGACAAGCAAGTACCAAATTCAAGAAGTTTTTTGACCAATTATCAAAGAAAAATAAAGGTATTCTAACATTACTGATATACAATAGTTTAAAAACTAAACTGTGTGAACATATAAACCATTTAAAACACTTTTCAGTATGCCTGACAGACACCACAGGTACTTACAAGCTATATTTTACCTTCCTTGTAAACAAAAGTCAAACAGAAATTACTGTATCCGTACTTGATAACAGCTCTAGGTCAATGGGAATGGAATTGTACTGGAGTCAAGTTTTATGATTTTTTATGACAAAGCTCTATTTATTCTAAACAAGGTTAAATTCCTGGAGAAACTGTGAAGAAAGAAAAAGGGAAGGTCTACCTGAGAAACTTCATCTCTACTATTCCATTTAACGGCATCTAGTAACTTTGGCAGTGAATCAGGTACTGTAGCACAATGATTTCGTAGTTTCCAAAGTAGCTCCTTTTCCTGTTCTGAGATTTCTGATAGAGGATCCCTGAGTATGACATCTTTTAGTTGTTCCTGGTCAGCTTGAGTTATAAGATCAGTGCCCTGCAAAAAGAGAAAAGGTTACAACCATAAGAATACAACATTAACCACATCACTGGTATTTTCTGATGAAAAACCTAAAGGTCCAGAAAAATATCAATAACTTCTAACAGTCCAAACACTTCACATGCATAAATAAGAATATGGACGACAAAGTACATGAGAAGTGAGCAAAAAATAAGTTTAGTGGACAGGAGTATTAAACAAAAAAACAGTTTAATTTATAATAACAATACATAAAGATGAAGAAGCCTTCAAGTGAAAAAAATTCAACAAGAAATTTGTACAACTAGTATACAACACTTCATTAGCTCATTAATCTTCATCTTGACATATTGCACAACCATACACCATAGATTTAATTACAGAAGTATTTAACTTAACCCTAGAATTAACAAGTCCAAGCAAATCCTATCGAATTTTTAAACACATTTTACTAAAATATTTACACATCAAATTGATTGTTGGTCTGTTACTTTGTTGGATAAGCCCTAACAACATATAAAGCTCATAAATAACAAATTTAAACAAAATTAATGTCAATATTACAACTAATTTCATTAGTTAATACCTCATTCCCTTTGTTTTTATGGTCAGTTTTTTTTTCTCTGAGTGATGTAACAAAAAAAAATAAAACTACACAATATGAGATGAATACACGGCCCCAACAGTGAACAATACACAAGTTGATAATTTGAGGGTTGAATTAAATTATACTTGAAGAATTTTTATCAAACATTTAAGCACATAATTCTCGGGTTTATTCTTAAGAAGCTCACACATGATTACATTGAAATTTACAGTTGTTTCATGAAAGTCTGCTAGTAACCTTTACGAATACATTATACATCGAATAATGTGAATTTCAGCATCAATCACATCAAAATAACTGTTAAAATACAATGCAAAGTTGTTGTTTTTTAGCTGTGGGAAAAAAAATCAGTTTATGTTCTTGTGTCACAAAAAAATACGAGTATTATGATTTTTTCTGAGTAATCATTTTCACTCTTAGTCCAAAATTCGAATACATAATTGTGTAAATCACACTCTTAATAACACACTTTTTTTTTCCAAATTATGATTTCAAATTTTGAATCTACAAACAAAAGGGAACACTCACAAAATCGGATACTTTTGTAAAACTCGATCCTTTCTGGATATCATTATTTCGGTCAAGTTTGGAAACAAACTTAGCATACTCTTCCACCTGGTCCATACTAGGAAACACCACCGTGTTGCTGAATCTATCAAACTCAATCTCTAAACAAGGTGAGTCTTTATTTGGATTAGAACCAGAAGACCCCAAAGGATTCAGTAATTCATCCATTCCTTTTGGCATTGTCCAAAGGTGAATACTAACTCTCTCACTCAAAAGGCGATTTTTAAAATCAAACAAGTTGATATTCCCCCAAGCCAAGGCACAGTGCTCCTAGAAAGATATATTCAAATTAAGAACTAAAAAAAAAAAGTTACAAACTTTGTACCATGTTTTGATAAATGAATCTGATTAACAGAAGTTGGAAACATACTTTAAAAAAAATTACTTCATTTGAAATAATCCTCAAAAACTAGATTACCACAAACATAACCTTTGAAGAAACAATAATTGCACATCCAACATATAATAAGGGGCATGAATTGAAACTAAATCATAAAATATAATTTGTAATTTTTTTTTTGGTTTTTGAATGAATTAAATTACTATCATGTATTAACAGTAATTTTTTAAAATTTCACTACCTCTGATGTCATTTTTATACAACAGCTGTTTCCATTTAAAGTGTCTCATCGCACTTACCTCTTTCCGTTTTCTACGAGAAACTGAGCATATAGACATACACAGTCGAGCACTACATGGAATATCTGGAATATACATGTCATACTCCAACCATTCATCCCACTTTGGGTTAGAATACACTACTTGCTGGGTATCGCGAGTTGGACAGAGCGGCTCAGTACCATGGAATATACCAGTCTTCACATAGATCTGAAAACAAAAAAAAGTGCCATGCAAACTTCAATTTTTACCATCACAACAAGCATCACGTGTTTCACTCTTCATCAAGATGTCTTGTACATTTTGTAATTAATTAAGCAGTAGCAGTCCATTGAAGCCAAATCGTTAGTAAATCCAAGATGCTTCAGTAATATAATGTGAAACATTTCTGAAACACATTTTTTTGAAAGACTTTTTTTTGTTTTATAAATTTAAAATTTTACTTCTTTGATGTTATGACTTATAGAGTTAGTTACATGGAAAAAAAGGTAGTTTTAATGCATTAAAGAAATTTCAGAATGGATAGGCTTAGAATTACATTATAAATAAATGGCTAAATATAAACATACAGACAGTATTTCAGTATTTGGGATTTTTAAGTTAAACCTCCATTACTGGATAGGAGTTTTTTTTTACAATACCATTCTCCTTTCTGCATATTAACTAGCATATTTTATGCACTCCAAACACAGTAAAAGCTAATCTGAGTTATATTTGATCATTTTGCTGTAATAATTATCCATGTGTACTTGCAGATGCCAGCGCAAGTACTGATTAAAGACTTAGTTCACAAACACGTATACACGCACACATCTATACATATATTGATTTTATTCTTTTCAATTTTTTTGTACATTGTATTATAGCTAGAGTAGAGACTGATAAAAACTTTGGGATAAATTGACTCTATAGCACTAAGTTTTCTAAGCCAGGTGTAAAATGGACACATGTAGAAATAAAACCACTAAAATGAAATAAAAGACAATTTAAAAATAAAACATTTATGATATTCAATTTTTATTTTCCTTCTTTCGTTTAGTCTCTCTTATGTATTTAAGCTTAAATGTATTTAATACACAAATTTATCTTATATATATATGCATTTATTTTCTTTATAACTTTTCTTTCACGAATAAACATTAGTTATCTTAAATTGTATTACTTTTCTTAATTTTACATAATGTTTATGTAGCATCAAGGTTTAAACATTCATATCATACAGCACAAAGATTTGTTTGATTTAGAGCAAAGTCACATTTGGCTACTTTCTGTCTCCACCATGGAAACTGTACATTATAATTCAAATTTGAGTATTATTCATTATTTGATTTCTTAATTTAAAAGTAAATATAAAAAAAAACACCTAAAAATCGATTTCTGTGTGTCACGTGGTATGTTCAATGCAGCACTGGGTCATATTAGATGTTTGTGAAGTCAAAATACTAAGTCTATAGTTTCATATCAATTAGGAGCTCAAATTATCGATATTGACAAGCTAGAATATAAAATAAGAACCTCTTATTTTTTCTATTTGCTGAGATATCACTCATGTACTAAA